GAGATCCAGCCCCGAGACCAGCTCCATGCTCAGTGCGGAGTCTGCTCGAGATTCTCTCTCCCTCTGCTCTTCCCTCTGCTTGCGCTCTCTCTAAATAAATAAATTAAATCTTAAAAAAAAATTGTGGTCTGATGAAATCAGACCGACTAAATGACCTGGACTATGTCCGTCACCTGATGGAAGATTGAAGAAGCGCTCTGTCCATTTCCTGAAGTTCCTCTTTCTTGTTAGACGATCAAGCAGAAGTTTTCTGTGCCCTCTCCTGGCTTGACTTTGAAACTGCAAGACAGTGATCTTTAAACTTCACCGGGTGGGTCTTTCCTTAGATAAATTCATGCTCTCCTCTCCCTTTTCTCTTGCCCCAGGAAGCTTATTCAGACCAGAGAGAGACTGAGCGGGCCACTTATTTGGCGTCCGGATAAAAGTGGTCAGATTAATCAGGCTCCAGATGTCCATCCGACAAGCAAATAGACCAAACAACCAATCTCGCGTTCAAATAGTACATACCATTTTTGAGATTCAAAAATGATGCCATGGGGCGCCTGGGTGGCTCAGTCGGTTAAGCGTCTGCCTTCATCTCAGGTCGTGATTGCAAGGTCCTGGGATCGAGTCCTGCATCGGGCTCCCCGCTCAGTGGGGAGTCTGCTTCTCCCTCTCCCTCTGCCTGCCGTTCCCCCTGCTTGTGATCTCTATCTCTCTGTCAAATAAAAAAATTTAAAAAATCTTTAAAAAAAATGACGCCATTATTTGGAGGTAACTCCATGTGAGTGTGTAAAGTATTCCCTGAGGCATTGTTGAGTGTGTAACTTTATAGGTAAAATCAAGAGTGGGGAGTTTGAATGAAAGTTTTCTGAACATGCTAAAAAAATACCTATTTTTCTTTAGGGCCGGGGACAAGGAAGTGTAACAGTGTAACTGTGTGACAGTGAGTAGAGTGTCCCAGAAAGCCCCCGGCCAGGTGTCTCAGGGAGGCTGGAGTTGATGCAGGATCATTTCTGAGCCTCTGCAAGCACAGACAAGTTTGTTGACTCCTTCTGTGGAACCCTTCTATCATTCTTTAGGCCAGAGGGAATCCATGCAGACAGCCAAAATGTACACAATGTCTTCCTCATGTTCTTTGGCTGTCACAGCTTTTTGGCTGAAATAGCAATCAGCCTAGAGCTGCCCTCAACAGCTTCCAGAAGGTCCACTCACTCACCCACCAAACATTTATTCTGTTGCTTGTTTTTTGAGGCACTGCAATTAGAGGCTGGCCAAAAGGACAAAACACATATTGGAATTTAGAGTTCACTAGAATGGCGCTTTGGAATCTTTTTCCTGTCAGGGCACACACTGAAAAATCATACAATTTGTATGTCCCATTGAGGTAAACGTGGATGGTAGGGAGCGGATTTAGGGATCTGTATGGGATTTGGTAAAAAAAAAAAAAATTAATTACATTTTCTACATATTATATGATTATGATTTGGAAAATGAAAGTATTAGACAGCATTAAATATTGAACTTATATAAAATTTCCAAATAAAATATTTTCCAAATTTTAGCTTTCCTCTGTGAATATCGCTTTTTATTATCAGGTTTGAATTATGTTTGAATTGGCTATATGCAATAACTACCAGGACTTTTCAAGAAGGATTCCTTCAAGGGGTGCCTGGATGGCTCAGTCGATTAAGCGCCTGACTCTTGATTTCTGCTCTGGTCATGATCTTGGGGTCGTGAGATAGAGCCCTGCACTGCCCCGCGTTGGCGGGGAATCTGCTTGAGATTCTCTCCGTCTCCTTCTGCCCCCCGCCCCTCACTCGTGTGCTCTTCTCGCTCTCAAAATAAATAAATAAATCTTAAAAAAACAAAGAAGAAGGATCTCTTCAAGTAGCCACGAACAATTGGAAACTCAGGTAAGTAATAAAAATTTAAAATTTTAATATTAAACATTTACAGAAGTCAGACTTAGAGAAGCATCTTATTTTTCTTCCATTAACAGTTGTTCAATTGAAATTTCTTGTGGTAACAATGGATTTTTAATCCAATCAAACGCTTTCCCGGCAAGCATTTCAAATTAATGACAGCTCTGATTGAAAGCATGTTCCTTCAGAACAAATACTTAAATATCCACTTGGTATGTGCTGGCATGCACTGTTTATGGCTAGCTGGTACCTGTTCTGATTGGTCAATGCCTGTGCGATCTCAGAGGTTAAATAGTTTTAATATCACCCTGCCATCAGCATTGTTCAAGCAGTCACTCCGAAGTTAGCTTGGACCCTTTTTGGACATCAGCCAAAAATGGACAGATATCTGATACGAGGTGAAGACGGATTTAGGTCAGCCGTCTGGCTGCTCTGGCCCAAACCTCCCAGCCAATCTCCTTCCTCCTCCTCCCCTGACCCCCTGCACCTTGCACTGCTGCTTGTCCTCCTTGGGTCCTAGCACCCAACTCCTCTAGTGGAGCATCGAGCTCTCACCCCTGAGGGACAGCTGTGTAGTCTGCAGCTGGCCTCTGAGGTCAATGTCCAGGTGGTAATGCATGGGAAGCCGCCAGTGCTGCGGATCCTGCTGCCTCCTTGCGGGGGTCACAGAGCAGGATGTCAGACTCCGAGGGGCTCTGTGTGGCCTGCATGCACCCAGAAGTGATTGGCCTCGCTGGCGGCCCCAAGGACCATGGGATCTTTATGTTATATAACTGCCTCCCCCCTCGTAACCCAGCGGCAAACACCAGTGTGCTATGACCACTGGTTAGGAAACTCTGCAGTAGAGAGAATAAAACATGCAATGATGACACTACCTAGTATTTACCAATTTTTGGTCTCACAGTGCTCTGCACAGTGGACCTCGTTCAATCCTGATAAGAACAACCAACAAGGGTTATCATTCCATTTAGCAGAATAGGAAATAGGTTCAAAAGGGTGAATTGCTCAGGTTGACATGCTAAGTCCACGCTTCCCTGACCGGGTGCCTTGGGGATATACACATGGGTGTGCTAGTTTAAACAACGTCCGTTATTGGAGTGATAGCTTCACTTATAAATTTGGGGGGAGCATTTAACTGGTAAATAAGATCAAATGTTTTTATACTAATATAAACGTGTTAAGAAACGGAATGAAATGGCACAAATATGCAAGATCAGGCAGGAAACTTCAATGAGATGTTGTGCTGGACGGGGAGCTACTTTGAGCTGTTGCCCCAAACCCACAGGGAATGCGAATGAGGTCTCTCTCCCGCCATAGTCATTGAGATACACGGAGGGTGGAGCTAGGATTTAACTTTTTTTTTTTTTTCTGATCCCAGCTCCTGTACTTGTCCCTCGTTGAAAACAGTGAGAGTTTTAAGAGTTTTAAGAGTTCCAGAGAGAGTAGTTTGAGTGTGGGCTTCAGCAGAACATGCGGCATGTGAAGACAGGAGTCGTGGGAGAGAACATTCCAGGCGAGGAGATGGTATGAACAAAGGACAGGAGGCAAGAAAGTGAGGGCTGTGTAAGGTGAACAATAGCTTGAGGGACAAATACACAAAGATGTATGATGGGAAACCGAATTAGAAACGTGGATTGGCTTCAGGAAGCATTATCTGATGGCAGAGTGGAGACACCAAGTGGAAAGCTAGAGGTGGGAAGGCGGGAACCACAGTTAGAGCAGAGGGAGTGAGTGGGGGGCTTGCCCGCAGGAAACCACCAGGACTTACTAAAGGATGGGGCAGAGAGCAGGATCAAGGAGAAGCAGGTGGAATGTTGCGCTGAGCCACAGGCCACCTGAGGTGCCGTCAGAGCATCTGGGTGGGGAGTTAGAAAATGGGCAGCTGGAGCCGATGGCTGGGATTCGGTCTGTGAATTACCTGCATCCGGGTGAAAATTGTCACCTTGATATTGAAAGAGACTGCCATCAGAGAGGGAGTTGTCAGGAGAGCAGGAGGGCACACCTGAAGGGAGGTTTAAAGGAAGGATGTGTTCAGCAGTAGCGGAAGGTGGGAACAGGTTGGAGTTATTGTCGCATGGTACCTGGCACACAGTAGGCACTCAAATATTCGTGAGAAGAATGAAAGAATACACCAGGGGTAAGAAAACGATACATCCAGGACAAACCGTATGAAAGAAGTAGTGATAGAATCTGCCGGTAGGGTTGTTAAGGGATTGTTGCTTTTTTTTTTTTTCCTGGAACATTCTCTGCAGGCTCTTTCAACACTGACCATTAGGAAACTTTGCCCCCATCCTGGGGGGTGTGGGGTTTAAGGTGTGACTTTCCTGTAAGGGTTACAATTTAAAGCAAACTCGGGCATTTTCCATTCAATCTCAACTTCCAGAGAATAAAAATGTATAATACCACCGCATGGCTCACATAACGTCATTACAAATCACTTTTTTCCTTTCCCTGGTGGTTTCCCCCCTTTCCCCTTAGAAATAAAGAGGATTGCAGATTAGGGACTCCTTGGCAGTGTGACCTTACCTAGGGGTGGTCTCTAAATCCTTTTTAAAAAGGTTATTTAGAAAGACTCTACTTCCTGAGAATCTTACCCCAGACATTTCCTAATATATTATTTTAAAAAAAATGCATTTCCTGGAGTGCCTGGGTGGCTCAGTCCCTTAAGTCTCCTATTCTTGATTTCAGTTCAGGCCATGATCTCAGGATCGTGAGATTGAGCCTCCCCTCCCCCCACCATGGGCTCTGGGCTCAGTACAGAGTCCGCTTCTCTCTCCTGCCCCCTCCTCCCGCGCTCGCTCTCTTTCTAAAATAAATAAATATTTTTTAAAAGTGCATTTCCGATTTCTCTTCTTTAGAGAAAAGTTTTTTTCCTTTAAATCATTTCGCTTTTAAAAATATTACTCTAAAAGGGAGAAGCAGGGGCCGAGGGCCAGGTTTTTGGGGGCATAGGCAGCGGGCCGGGGCGGTGGCGGGGAGTGGGGAGTCCCGGGCCTGGCTTTGTTTACCGAGAAGGCCAGAGGCCAGAGTCCAGAGAGGGGGCGGGGAGAGAGCGGCCCCTCGCCCGCCCAGCACCCCAGGCCGCCCGCTCTTTGAGCGCGGGCTGCTCGGCGCCGGCACAGCCGGCGGGCCTGGAGTGGGGGGGGACCCGGCGGACGGCATGCTGCGGCGGATCGCGTCCCGGTGCGCCCGGGGCCTGGGGGCCGGCGGGGGCGCACATCCTGCCGTGGGGCTCTGCCACCCCGGCCGCAGCTCCAGCAGCCGGTCCTCCGATGCGCGCCGGAACCAGCCCCCCAGCTCCGAGTTCGTGGCGCGGCCGGTGGGCGTCTGCTCCATGATGCGGCTGCCGGTGCAGGCCTCCCCCGAGGGGCTGGACGCCGCCTTCGTCGGGGTGCCGCTGGACATTGGGACCTCCAACCGGCCCGGGGCGAGGTAAGGTCCGAAGGATTCGGGGACACGTGGGTGGACCGCCCGATGGCCACTGGACGCGAAAGACAAAGGGACGGGCGCCTCCGCTCACGCAGGGTGGGGTTGGAAGTGCTGGCTCCAGAATGCTCCCAGTCCTTTGAAAGACGGTTGATTTCCCTCCTCCCGCATCAAGCAATGGTGAGGGCTGGACATGTGGGTCATCTGTTGGTGACAGGAGCCTTCTCCACACGCTGATTCCTGAGCCTTGCTGGGATGGTGGCTGTGGGGTTTATGGGGGCAGGAGACGTTATTTCCGAGAACAGAGGAAACTGGATGCACCTTCCCCAAACCTCTAGATGTCACCTGATCAAGAATTGCTCAAATACTCCTGTCAAATAAATAAAATCTTTAAAAAACAAAACAAAACAAAACAAAAAGAATTGCTCAAACACAAGATGCTTTTTAAAAAAATACATTTTATTATTTTTAAGTAATCTCTACGCCCAGTGTGTGACTGGAATTTACAAACCCGACATCAAGGGTCCCACCCTCTACCTCTACCAACTGAGCCAGCCAGGGACCCCAAGGCATTTTTTTTCTAAGATCAAGGCAGCTGAAGCAATTTCCTAATTAGTGAGCATCAGCTATTTCTGATTCAGCGCAGCCACTTTACGTCTAATAATCTGAAGTATGGATGCCACCATTTATATGGCGCTTTGCATAGATGACCTCACTCAATTCCTCCAACAACACAGTAAGGTTAGGAAATTGAGGCTCATGGAGATTAAGAAATTATCTAATGTCATTTAGTAAATTGGTGATGGGTAGTCTCCTAAATCCATGCCTTTAATCTCTTCAAGTATATAGCCTGGATCAGTGGTTCTCAACCAGGGGTGATTTTGCCCCCAGGGGACATTTGGTGGCGTCTGGAGGCCTTTCTGGTTATCCCAACTTGCCACTGGCATCTAGTGGGTTATAGATTAGGGGAAACATTCTGCAAGGCACCGACGGCCCCCCACATCAAAGATTCCTCCAGCCCCAAATGTCAGCAGTGCAGAGGCTGAGAAATCCTGGCCTAAGTAGGACCTCTGACCCTTTTGGGATGGTTCACAGGATGATTCTTCCTTCTCCAGATTTGGACCTCGGCGGATCCGGGAAGAATCAGTGATGCTTCGGACAGCCAACCCTAGCACGGGGGCCCTCCCCTTCCAGTCCCTCATGGTTGCAGACCTAGGCGATGTGAACGTCAATCTTTACAACCTTCTGGACAGCTGCCGTCTAATTAGAGAGGCCTATCAGAAAATTGTAGCAGCTGGTTGTATTCCCCTGACCTTGGGTAATGGTGTCTGTGGGGACAAGTGCAGCTCTGCGCTGAGGGTTCATTTATGGTGGGCTTGGGTGTAGCTGCTCCTTCGGGGCAAGCCACTGGGAATATGGAGACAGTCGGAAAGAGAATGTTTTAAATTCATGTGTTTTAACCCCTGGGGAAAGGCTGTTTACATTTTTGGACTGGTATGACTGGCAGGGATGGACTAGGGTGAGGCAAGTGAAGCATTCACTTTGGGGGGGTTGCCAAAAAGTCAACTTATAAATATGATCGACTTTTCCCTTTTGCCTCAGGCTCCAATATAGTTCGGAATAGCACTATTACTGATCCCCTTTTTTTTTTCTTTTAAGATTTTATTTATTTATTTGACAGAGAGAGACACAGCGAGAGAGGGAACACAAGCAGGGGGAGTGGGAGAGGGAGAAGCAGGCTCCCCGCGGAGCAGGAAGCCCGACGTGGGGCTCGATCCCAGGACCTTGGGACCATGACCTGAGCCGAAGGCAGACGCCTAACGACTGAGCCACCCAGGTGCCCCTGATCCTGTCTTTTTAAAAAAAATTATCATGGAGGGGGTGCCTGGGTGGCTCAGTCGGTTGGGCGTCTGACTCTTGGTTTCCCTCAGGTGGTGATCTCAGGGTCCTGGGATTGAGCCCCGCGTCTGGCTCTGGGCTCAGCCTGGAGTCTGCTTCTCCCTCTTCCTCTGCTCCCCGACCCCCACTTGTATTCTCTCTCTCAAATAAATAAATCTAAAAACAAAAATTCATCGTGGATTTTTTTGCATTGACCTTGATTTTTAAAAGTATTGCATCAAAATAGTATTTATCTCAATGACTGAGTTTTTTGGTGTCCCTTAAATTTTGCATCCCAGCAAGTGCCTCTACCCACCTCACCTTTGTCCTGCCCCTTGATTCCAGGCCTGGGGAAGGCTCACAACAGGAGCTCAGCTGTGACTTTTTAACTATTTCAAGGACATACTTTTCTTTTTTCTTTTTTCTCTTTTCTTTTCTCTTTCTTTTCAGGAAATGCTTTTCTTTTTCTCTTTCTTTTCAAGAAATGCTTTTCTTTTTTCTTTTTCTCTTTTCTTTTTAGAGAGAGCGCGCGAGTGTGATAGAGCACACGTGCCCGAGAGCGGGGTGGGGGGCAAGGGGCAGAGGGAGAGCGAGAGCGAGAGCGAGCGAGCGAGAGAGAGAGTCTTCAGCTAGCTCTATACACAGCACGAAGCCCGCTTGGGGTTGATCTCACGACCTGAGCCGAAATCAAGAGCTGGAAACTGAACCATCTGAGCCACCCCGGCGCCTCTCAGGGACATACTTTTAATGACGTTATTTGAGAGAGAGCTACAAAGGGGTATTTCCTCCTCATCAGGGTCTCTATTAGTCTACAGGGCGGCTTTCCCCTTGTCTTGCCTGATCTCTCCCCCACCCTTACATTTCTTTCTCTTCCAGTTCACAAATAGTTAAAATGACACGGGCCTTTTTCTAAATATCCAAATGTATTTTTGCCAAAGGAGAGGGCCGAGCCTGCAGAACACTGTGGTGCGGAGTGTGGTTTCTGGATGGCACAGTTTGAAAATTTCAGATTCACCTCTCACTAGCTATTTATGCTTCATTTCCTCACTTGTAAAATGGGACTAACACTACCAGCGTCTTCCTCATTGTTTTGTGTGAGGGGCGTATAATGAAAGTGCACATAACCTGTCTGGCATCGTGACTTACGTATTTTCAGCTTCAATAAATGTTAGCTGTTGTTGTTGGTAATAGTGGCCCATAGTAATACTTTTCTAGGCCCGAGCTGTCCTGTACAGTAGCCACTAGCCACATATGGTTATTAAAATGACAATTAATCACAATGAGATAAAATGAAAAATGCAGTTCCTCCACGGCCTGAGCTGTATTCCTCTAGGCACACGTGGTTAGTGACCCCCCGTGCCGGCCAGTGCAGATAGAGAACATGCCCATCACTGCAGAGAGTTCTGTTGGACAGACCTGTTCCTGGCATTTGACCTGTAAGCTTTGTTTCCTCTTTTATTATCTTTTAAAGATTTTATTTATTTATTTACTTATTTGACAGAGAGAGAGAGAGAGAGAGAGAGGGAACACAAGCAGGGGGAGTGGGAGAGGGAGAAGCAGGCTTCCCGCGGAGCAGGGAGCCCGATGCGGGGCTCGATCCCCGGACCGTGGGACCATGACCTGAGCCGAAGGCAGACGCTTAACGGCTGAGCCACCCGGGCGCCCTTGTTTCCTCTTTTAAAGAACAATGTAATCCCAAACATCCAGTGGCTGTTTTCCCACCACTGAACAAGATCTCACGTTAGCTGAGGTCATAGCTCTTCGGTCTCAACAAAAGGGCGGCACAATTGGGTAGATTGAAGATTGCTCTCTATAATACATGGTCCTCTCTTACCCGCATTCCACATATTTTCTTCTTCCTCTTTGCAGGTGGCGATCACACAATCACATATCCGATATTACAAGCGATGGCAGAAAAGTACGTCCCAAGCGTCTGGGCGCGCACAAGGGTTTCAAAATTCAGGAGCTAGGGCATGAGTTGTTTGCTGCTAGATGGTATCAAGTGACCTCTGCTGGCTCAGGTTATTTGGGGTGATAGGAAATTCCCCACTGGGTTGCTTCTGTGGATCAAAATGAAGGTCGAGCTCCCGGTGTCTCTGTCAGTCACCAGCTGGGAACCAAGACAATTTATTATTAACACTTGTGGCTACCCTTGCTTGCCCTGGATCTGCCCTGGTATGCGCGCTCAGCATCTGTCTCTGTTTTTGGAAGATGGGCCCCTCGTGAAATACACAACCCCAGCTAACAGCAGTTTCTGTTGGGCTTCAAAGGCCAAATACACAGCAGTGTTGCTTGCTGAGGAGAGGTCCTGTTTCTTCCTGAAAGGGCCCCTTCCCCAGAGAATGAGAAAATGGCTTTTCCAGTCGTGGAAGTCTACCAGGGATTAACTAACTTTGGTTAATTAGTTTGAAAAAGAGGCAGAAGGGCCAAGGTGGTGACAGCTCCAGAATTCGTATATAGGAAGGACATATGGGTAGCATCCTCAGTGGTGGTGGGCGGGTATAAGTCTTTTCTGGAAGCTGTGCTTGCCTAGCGTTGATTTAGATCGTATGTTGCTTTCGGGTGGCTGGAGGGGTTGTTGGAGATTATGGAGAGAGAGCTGTCTGTCTTCTGCCGGACTTCTCTGGGTTGATTATTCTGAGCAGCTAAGTGATTTGAAGACAGAAACCAGTTGCAAGGCTGGTCACTGAGGCCGGGTCTCCCGTGGCTGTGAATGGTCAAGTTTGGAAGTCCGGGTAGCCTGGAGGGTGGTGGTGCTCAGGCCCCCGGAGGAGGCCTGGGCTCAGAGCTGCCTGTTGTCATCAGGCATGGCCCCGTGGGGCTGCTGCATGTGGACGCTCACATGGACACGGCTGACAAGGCCCTTGGAGAGAAGCTCTATCACGGGACGCCCTTCCGCCGCTGCGTGGACGAGGGTCTCCTGGACTGTAAGCGCGTGGTGCAGATCGGCATCCGGGGCTCCGCCATGACCTTGGATCCCTACAGATACAGCCGGAGCCAGGTGACAAGCCAAACGCCCCCCTTCCTCTGCCCGCAGCCTGCAAAGTGCATTTCTCTCTGGTGCCCGTTCGGTGGTGGCTGCGGATTCCACGGGGGCTTTAATAACCAAATTCAGAAAAACGGGACGGAAAGCCGAGTTTGCCCCAAGAGGGTCGTGTGGAGCAGAGAGGAGAGAGGATGTGAGTTCATGAGGCGAAGGGGGCCTCTCATCCCTGGGGTAGGGAGAGAAGCCGAAACACACCCGCCTCTGCGCTGTCGCTGGCTTCCGAAAGAGCTGAGGATGTCCGAACCCAAGGCCAGCGGCCATCTTTTTAGTTCTTGTCCTCACCCCCATCGGGCAGAGTGGCTCCCAGGGAAACACGGATGAGAGGATCCCCACAGGAAAGACCCAAGTCCCCTGCTTTTAGAGCGTGCAAGGGCCAGTCTTCTGGACAGAGCCGTTCCGGAGGTGCTGAGTTTCTCGCTCTTGCTCTAGCCCAGCTTCTCTCTGATCCCATCCCCCCCAGGTCAGCTTTGACTTACTCCCTGCTTCTTCACCAGCCGTCGCTCCTCCCTTCCTCACCAGTAAAAGGGGGAGGACAGTTCCCTCTTCGTGAAGATTGGGGGTCTGATGTCATGTGTACAGAAGCACTTAGCGTGGGGTTGGCACATAAGAAATCGCCCGTAAATGGCGCCATGTAGAAGCCTCGACACCCTGCTCTTTACTTCCCACATCCTCAGGGCTTCCGGGTGGTTCCGGCTGAAGACTGCTGGATGAAGTCCCTGGTTCCTCTGATGGGGGAGGTGAGGCAGCAGATGGGCGGCAGACCCATTTATATCAGCTTTGACATTGACGGCTTGGATCCTGCCTATGCCCCAGGGACAGGCACACCTGAAACTGCCGGTCTCACCCCTAGTCAGGTAAGGAGGTTCCACCAGGGACGATGCCTGGGGGGTGAGGATTTTCAACTCCCCACTTTCCTGGGACTTGTGGTGAGTCTTCAGGATCAGGACAGGATTTTAAAAAGCGGAGGAGTTAGGCCTTTATCTGTTCTCAGGGCTGACTGCAGGTTGGACGCTCTTGTTGAGTGAGTAGACTGACTTTGGCAAGGGCCCTCATGTCCTCTCTGGGATATAATAGTCTATTATTTGAGCTTTCTGCCTCTGATCCACCTATAGTTGGTTCGTGGGGACATATGCCAGTATCCCCTCTTAAAAACACCAAGCTTGGGGCGCCTGGGTGGCTCAGTTGGTTAAGCGACTGCCTTCGGCTCAGGTCATGATCCCGGAGTCTCCGGATCGAGTCCTGCATCGGGCTCCCTGCTCTGCGGGGAGTCCGCTTCTCCCTCTGACCCAACCCCCTCTCATGCTCTCTCTCTCAATCTCGTTCTCTCTCTCAAGCAAATAAATAAAATCTTTAAAAAAACAAAAACAAAAACACCAAGCTTATCTTTCTGGGGTGACACTTAAAAAGTGCTCATGGTGGGATTAACCACCTACCATGGAAGTTCAAGAGTTTTAGAAACACCCAAACAAAGCTCTCTGAAGGTGGGCTGAGTGTAAACGCAGGAGGCAGAATCGGAGTGTGGTTATAATTAGAAGGTGAGCTCCACGAGGTTAGGGCTGTTATTTCATGGACTGCCCTGTCCTTGGAGTAGAGAATGGTGCCTGACAGAGAGAGTAGGCACTCATAGATATCTGTGTGAATGAGTGAAGACCACTCACACCTGATCCGTTACCTGACCTCCTCTAAGAAAGGGGCCTGTTAGCAACTACCTCTCAAAGCCATTCTCTATCAGTTCCCCTCAGAGAGATTTCTAAAACACAATCCTCCTTCCTCAGCTTATCATTCTGGGCTTTTCACTGGCTGAATGGAAACTCTTTTAGACAAAGTGACCCCTTCCTCCCATCCCCCTCACTCATCCTGTCTTCTGGCCACATCTAACTACTGGTATTTCTTTCCATCTTAGTGTGTGTTTGTCTGGGCTGCCCTACCCTTGGTTAATTAATTCCTTGGGCTAAGTGTTCCTGCTGCCTGGGGAGGGCTTCCCCCAGCTTTTCGGGCTGTTTCGTATTATACTTTTCTGTGCTTGCTTTTTTTTTTTTTTAAGATTTTATTTTTTAAAGTGATCTCTACACCTACTATGGGGCTTGAACTTACAACCCCGAGGTCAAGAGCTGCATGCTCTACCGACTGAGCCAGCCAGGCGCCCCTACGCTTGCTTTTCCTGAAGCCTTTAATGTACGAATGATTGGAATGATTGGCCTTCCATCATACCACGGACCCTTCGGGAGCAGGGGCTGTGCTTTGGCCATTTGTGTCTCCATGATGCCCACCAGGGTGCCTGGCCGTCAGTAAATGTTTTTTGAGGGAAAGCGACAGTTCCGAGTCAAAGGGTGGGCATGTGCTGGGAGAGATGCACTGGGACCTCTGTGGTTGCTTTTCATTGTGAGTGGTTACTGCTGTGGACAACTGGGGCTTGGTCTTGGACAGGCGCTGGAAATCATCCGGGGTTGTCAAGGCCTGAATGTGGTGGGTTGTGATCTTGTGGAAGTTTCGCCGCCCTACGATCCTTTTGGTGAGTAAGCGAGAATACCATGATCTGTAGGCAGCTGCGGGTTTAAATTATATTAATCTACTTAATAAGTAGAAGATGGATGGATCCTTTTGTATAACTTGGGAACCTGCTGAGTATGTTCTGCAGCGAAGAAAATAAACCTCTTACTGCACACCACACAAACACGAGCTAATTAACAAAACCCCTGGGAGGTGGCTATTATTGGTTTGCTTGCCTGACAGCAGAAGAGAAAGAAACCAGCCTATGGTTTATTAATAGGGTGGCGTAGTTCTGTCCTTCTTTGATACTTCATTGAAAAGTGAATTACTGCATAAGTAATATTTATTAATATTAAAAAAGTGGGTGGTTAGCTGGTTTAGGAGAGATACTCAAAGCAGATGCCATCCCAATAATTTCAACTTAGAGAAGCTTCCAGACTTACGCCTATTAGTCTCAGAGGGTAGGTGATAAATACAATAGACACCATTATTAAGGGTTTTCCTTTGGGGGGAATCTGTTCTCAGAGTAAACAACGAACTGTCTGAATTTCAGAATGCTCTTTCTGAATGTTTGTTGGAGCGGAGTACCAGGGAAAGCGTGTCCACAGGGTGGCTGGGCAGCCCAGAGAAGAGCACGGAAGGGAGAATTTGGAAAGGCAGCCCGAAGGGAAGAGGGCGGAGTACCGAGAGGCTTGGCCTTGGGGGCAGCCTGCATGGTGTTCACCTTCGGTTTTGTCTCTTTGTAGGAAACACGGCCCTTCTGGCGGCTAACTTGCTATTTGAGATGCTGTGTGCTCTCCCCAAAGTGATGGTTGTCTGAACCTTGTGCTCTCCCCAAAGTGATGGTCGTCTGAACCTTGTGCTCTTCAAGATACAACAGGTTGTGCTGATGACAATTCTCAAGAATTTATGCGCAAGCAGTCTGAGTACTCAAAGAGTTTATGCCAGTGAAACTTTCCGCTAAACAGTGTCCCCGGGGGCTATAAACCCAGGGCATTCGGTAGAACTCTAATCCAACAGCTAATATTTCTATGGAGTTTGAATGAACTGAATAAACAGAGAAGCACTTGTGCTGTTTTGATGAAAGATGCTGGAGGATTAAGGGGAAAAGGGAGCCAAGGAACATTTGGTTCAAGATGATCTAAAAATTGGAGAAGTGAAATAAAAAAGCCCTAGGACATAATCCTGTATAAACATCCCGTATTTCTCTAGTTTCTTCCTTCACACTGTGGCTTCTCCTGAGGAACTCAGGGCTGCATCTGGGTTTTAGGACCACTGTGAACCTAAACAAAAAGTTTGAATGAAAGTAACGTGCAGATCCCGATAAAGAAACTTCCCACTCAAAAGCCCAGGAGGGTGCACAGAATGTCTTTTCAACCAGACATCAGGTGGCCTCCAAAGAGCCCTTGGTGACTCTTCCTTAACCCACTTCCTCCCTTTCGCATTATCTACTCTTGGAGCTGCTGCACCCTCCATGACAGCAACTCCTGAAATCTGCAGGGAACATTCAGGCATGGGTTGAGTCACATGCAAATTCAGTTTTGTCGCTAACGTGTCCACGGGCAAAACATCATCCCCCAAAGCAAGAGCGACGCATAATCATCACACATTAAAATAGTTTATTTCTGTTTCCAGTCTGTAATATTCTCAAAACAAAAATAACATCAGCTTCAGTGCCTGTTCACAATACAAAACAAAAACAACATAAAAAAGACACCATTTGCCAAATAAGTTATTTGTTCCTAAGAGTATCAAAAGTGCAAAATATTCACCTTTTCAGATCGGTCTCTAAAGTTCCATCGTCCTCCTTGACAAACGGAACGGACAGGTTTAGCAGTTGCCACACTGCATTTGTGTTCAAGGGACAAGGTCAGGCATTTGGATGTGAGCGATATTTCATCTGCAAGGATATTTTGCATCAGCTTTTAAAGAATTTTACTTAGGAAAAAAGTTGGAGTGTTTGCTTCTAATCTCTTTTTCCCAAACAAATCACTTAAAAAAAAAACACATTCAGATTTCATTTCTTTTTAAATCAGGAAACGTTGATGTACTGAGTGAGGAGGAAATCAACCTATTAATTTGAGAAGTATGACCAAATTTTCATGGTCAGTAAGTGATGGCAGAGAGAGAGAGACCGTGGTGCCTAACAGAAGTCAGGGCAGTCTTGCTCACTGAAACGCCGCTGACTCAGAGCTGACAATCTCTTAGACAAATTATGCCACCAGCACCTGGATGATAAAAAAATATTTGTAAGTAGGTGCATGTTCTACAAAGACTTGTTTTAGGCCAGTTTTCATCCCCAGCTGCTGAACATGATGTACCAGAAAAGCCTACTTCTAAAAACAAAACAATGTTGTCAGTCTCAAGATATTCAAAGACCAAGAAATTAACTTAAAACCAAAATCAGGTCTGTGTGATTTCACACAAGAGAAGGAGAAATGGTGGCATTGGCTGAGCATGACAAAGGCTCATACATTTGACACAAAAGTAAACAAATTCATGGAAACATTCAGGAGGAAAGGCTCGGGTGGTCAAGGGCAAAGTTGTTTAAAGTAGAACCTTCCTGGCGTCCTCTTGGGGGACGTACTTTCCAGCCCCAAACAGACCTGTGAAATAATTTCTGCACTGAAAAATTCACCAGGAATGTTTTTAATCCTATCTACTCTCACTTTCCTTTCTTCGTACAAATGGAGGGTGCAGCTGTCTGTGTAAAGGTGCTTTTCATTTTAATGAGAAACATTTTTAAAGTGAACAAATTTGGGGGAGATTTTGGTTTTCAGAAATTAAGGTCAGGGATCCATCCCATTAGTACCGGAAATTAAAAACCAACCACTGAACCAGAACACTACTCACATCAGCAACTTGGCCATAAAAGACCTAGAAAATAATTTTGAGGCTGGTGTATCAAGGAACCAAATGAATCCCTTAATCACACCTGCCTGGGCCAGGTGCCAGGAGACAGCAATCAGAGTAAGCATCCAATTTTTAGAGGATCACGTGGGGGGGAAAAAAAAAGCCTGGCAGTGATTTTTTTTCCTTTTAAATAAAGCTATAGACTCCATGGAAATGATAGGAATTCTTGGGCTTAAGTAATTTATTACTTGCCCCTGTAGCTCAATGTTGAAATTGTTCAGGATCCAAATGGCTTTGTTTAAAGCAATGATGATTAAAGAAATACTAATTTAGTAAATGTCCCATCACTGATTCTGACACTTGGCTTTACAAAAGGGCAATGTGTTTTGTCATCTGAACCGACCACTCTTTGAGGTTGTTCAAACTCCGCTGGTGGTTTTGCGCCCCCCACCCGCCCCAAAAAAGGCAAACTCTCTAACTGGTGGGTGTGATCCACTGCACACTGGAAGCCGGGGTGCTGATGGTAGGTCGGACCCTGTTACTGGTGAAGCAGTTGTGAGTTAGGAGTGAAAGCAATTGAGCTATCATAATATAGGCCAGAAGCTCAAAGTATGCCTTTTGCCAAACAGGAGTCTAGAACAAGTCTTGGCTCACTTGTCACAAAAGAGGGCTCAAAGTTACAGTACTTCTGGGGGGGGGGGTGATAACAGTGTTCAAAATAAAATTGTTGAGAAATTTTTAAGTTCCTTGATACAAAGACATGTCTGGTATTTTACTAAAGAGACACCACTGGAGTGAAGAGGTTCCTCGAGCCTGACGCCTGTCAGGCAGGGGTCTTCAGTTTAACATCTACTGGTTTATAGCAGCTTATCTCTACGTCCAGAGAACAAGATTACAAATTATGGCTCCTAAGATTCATACCCTAAAATTGACAGAGGCAGAAAGGCATGTGAAAACAGACACGTAAATGGCTCAAAGTCATTACAGTACTTCTTGCCGTGCAGATCCTTCCCTGGCTACGCTTAGCGCTGGGGGAGATGGTTGATGGGACGCCCCAAGGGGTCACGTATGTCACTGCCCAGCCCCCCCCTTCAAACCAAACTCACATGCAGGACCCCCACTTATCCCTAGCCTTGTAAAACCGTGGCTGACCAACTGCTGCAGGGGGATACCCCCCCAAATACCCTTTTAGCCACTGACTACCGGAAAAAACTATCAAATGTGAGATTGCTTGGAACCAGGCCTCTTTCAGGATGCAGGGCCTAGAAGCTGCTGTGGGCTGTCGTCCCACTGATACAGCATGCACCGGGGGCGGAAGCACAGCGGGGGCGGGGGCCCGACCAGCACTCCAGGGCCTGCTGCCGGCCGCGGCCCTGTGCCTCTCCCACAGCACGAGACAGGACGGGGGAGGGCAGAAGGAGCACTGGACAGGGATGACGAAGGAAGAGGGGGTGAGCAGTCTCCTTTAAATAGTGCGGCATTCAAACGAGGGGGAAAAAAACCCAAAGCAAAATATTTTGATCTAAGGAATTCAACTTGAGGTGTTTTTCACTCCTAGGTTAGGACAGGACAAAGGAAAGATTCTTCTAGCCATTGTTCCGGAAGAGTAATCTAGAATCTATTCTCTGTCCATGGTGATAGGTAGAGTCCTGAAAAGACCTGTTCCCAGGGGCCTATTAAAAAGCCTGAAGAGTTAAAGTCTCTCTTGAGCTCCCTCAGTCTAGTTCAGGCCATGACGGGATATAAAACCTCTGTAAGGAGCCTTCGAGCAGGCGCTCCATCCATAAGGACAACTTGCTCAATTTCCCTTTGATGGGCCTGGGTCCAAGGCCACAGGAAGATTTCCCTCGAGTCTCGCCCAGATGGAGGGAAGAGTCAAGATCACCGCAGGACCCCACGGCCGCCTCCTCTTCCACTGCTTTCTGGGGCTTGAAGAGGCAGAAGTACTTCTTGTGACCGTTCAGGGCCAGCACGTAACCTGTGTAGTCACGCTCCATGAAATGCTTGTCGTATTGGTTTGGGATCGGGGCTGCATCCTGAGCAAATTCTAGCAAGTATTCCAGCCATTCTCTGTGTTTATCTAGACTCAGGAAGGAGAAGTGTAGGCAGCTGCTCCTGGTGAGAGGACACAGTGAAGATTTAGGGAACTGCCCGACACACTGAATTGCAGGGAACGCAAAGACCTCCGTCAGATCGCATGTAATAGGAGGTGGCTTTGTGTTGGATGGGGCCCAAATATGGAAAGACTGGAGGATTCCTGGCGGACGTCAGGGCTTCTGCAACAGCTCTAACAGTCCGCTGGCCCATCTCCCCACCCCGCCCCGCCGGCCCCTTGCCGGGTGCCCCTTAGGCACTCTCAGTGTCTGGCTTCAGGAAAACACATGACAGCTAGAGGACAGAGCTCCCCAAAAGGCTCAGGGGAGAAGACCGAGTGAGGTCAAACTCTTCTGTTCAGAAGCGTCCGGACATGAAGTCGCGGACAGAAAGGTGCCCTCATGGCAGCTTAGATCTCTGGGCTCAAAAGGTCACAGCCAACATCTGGCTGCGCGCATAAAGCCCCTCACAGTCAAAGAGGAAAGGATGAAATTCTGCCCTGGTCCCCTCCTCTCCCCCTCTCCCACGTGAGCTTACCCAGTGAACGTGTAGACCTCCAAAGCGAATTTCTGTAGTAGGCTGGCCTTGGTGGAGCCTGACAAGATGAGGACCACGTTCATGTGGCCCGGCCTCAGGCGGACCAGGTTACTGGTGTACGTTACATCCGTGAGCTCAGTTACCTCCACAAAGCCTTTTTTAGGAAGCTTGCTGTGGAGAAATAGTGAGGAATTAAGATGTTATCAGGCAGGAGAATGCCATTACTTTGAAAAGAAACAAGAGGAAGAAAATGCTGCGTTCCAACCAGACTAGGTATGTTATTTAATATTCTGGAGCCTGACACATTGGCAGGACGGGGATGGTCCCCACTTGGTGGCCCCAGGCCTACAAAGGGCCCTTCAGACGCTGCCGTTCACAGCTGGTGTAGCATCGGCTTTAGGACGGGATGAAGGCGGTCCGCACAGTCACGGGACGCACCCTTCTCTGCCGCTGGCTCGTCTAGCAACTCTGACGTGCTTTGCTTCCTGTCCGCATTATTACATTTGAGACCGAGAGCCTGAAGCTACCGAGTAGAATGTAAGTAGGTCCTGTGTCTAAGGGCCTACGGGGTTTCAGTAAACACTAACCAGCAACTGACTTTTCCCTCAATCCTCCTCACACGCAAGTTGGTGACCCAGAGTGCTTATACAGACTAGGTCCTCGAACACTGCGCTCTCAGACCACGGGGCCTGTGGCTCTCCTG